GTGTTTCCTAGCATTTAGAGTTAGACAAGATCTGTTTCTAAAAAAAGAAACAGTTTTACTTTCAATTTCTTTACCAAGTTTTTGACATGAGGCTTAAAAAAGAGTTGCAAATCGACCAAGAAACCCAAGTATTTGTAGGAATCGACAAACTATTGGAACACCATTCATATATAAGATGGAAGGAAGGACTGCTGGTACCAAATTCCTGTTTGAAAAAAATATCCTTTTGGTTTTATCAGCATTTAGCACCATTTTGAGATGGAACAAATCTGATTGGATGATGTCGAATGCAAATTGTAAGAACTGAAAAACCTTAGCAACTGTTCTAGCTCAACAACAAACAACTGTGTTGTTGGCATAGAAATGTAAGGATGCATCAGAAATGATCTGACCTACATTACTTAGGTAGATTGTGAATAGGGTGGGTCCTAAGACAGAGCCTTGTGGTACACCATTCTTGACAGTTAGATAGCTGGAAGAAGTACCGTTATGTTGAACACATTGCCTCCAATCTGAGAGATACTTAGAGAACCAACCAATGGTGTGGTCTGAGGAACCAATTTCTGAGAGCTTATGACATAAGATGTCATGGTCCATAGTGTCCAAAGTTTTAGATATGTCTAAATAAATTGCAGCACAATAATGCTTAATAGTAATAGTCCTTAGCATCCAGTGCGTCAATGACATCAAGAACCTTCAAAAAACAGTCACTTTGCTGTGTTGTTTCCTGAAACCAGATTGATGGGAAGATAAGATGTTAAACTTCTTGTTAACCTCGGAGGCCTTGACTCTCCACACCTACTTTATTTTTTCTATCAGTTATTGACATTTCTTGAGCTTCTTGTGCCCCTTTTCCCTGATATTATAGTAACTTGGGACTGCTACATCTATCACTATGGCCTTCTTTTCTTTCTTGTCAACCATCACATGTTGGTTAGCCATCACTTGTTTGTCAGTGTGGATCTGGAAAGTCCCACAGTATCTTAGCCCTTACATTCTCCACCACCCTTGGTGGTGTCTCTCACTTTGACTGTGGAATCTCCAGTCCATGCTCATAACAGATGTTCTTGAATATTATTCCAGCCACTTGGTTATGGTGTTCAATGTATGATTTGCCTGCCTGAATCTTACATCCAACACACACTTTCTTACACTTGTGCTATTGAACCCATTTAGTGAACACCTTACCTCTCTTGAACACCATTTGACCACATTTATCCTGTCTGGATGACATTCCAAAGTACCTTCTCTATATTCATGTTGGGTGGATCAGAGAGAGTCAATACCTTATTTATTTCTGGCATCCAGGTTGATGTCATCCATATAATCAATGTAAAGGTTGATCTTTGTGTGTGTGTTGGTGGGGGTGGGAGGAGGCTGTGGGGTGTGTGTGTGTCCTGTTTGAACTCTAAAATATAATTGATCTGAAACTTTGTCATGTGTTATTCTCAGAATCATCATTGTTTCCTGATGCATGCTCAATAATCTAGGTAGAAAAATCTAAAAAAGTTAAGTCTGGTCCTCTGGACATTCAAAAATCAAAACATAACAAAACAAAAAAAAAAAGTAGAAGCGTTTCCTCTTTCATCCGAAAGGCTTTAGTTTGAGGTCAAAACCAAAAAAAGATTTAGTTAGTAGTTTAGTTTGAGGAGCTGTATTCAGCTCAGTCTCTTAAATAGCACCTTCTCAGAGTGGATCAACCAGTTTTGCTGCTGACAACCAAAACCAGCTGCTCACATGATCAAGAAGGACCATCAGCCTAACAATGGATCATTAGCACCTGATGGCTGTTTACTGTTCACAGAGGGCTGAGTGATACTAGCAATCACAGTATTGTAAGAGGGGGACAGTTGAACCCGGAGGCTCCACCCCTGTTTAATGATGGACGATTTCTTTTCACAAAGATGGCCTCCTTTACTCCTCTCTCAAACCATCGTTCCTCTCTGTCCAGGATGTGAACATCTTCATCCCTGAAAGAGTGACCGCTGGCCTGGAGATGAGTGTAGACCTCAGAGTTCTGGCCTGATGATGTTGATCTTCTGTGCTGGTCCATCCTTTTGGCCAGTGGCTGTTTAGTTTCCCCGATGTAAGACTGATCACAGCCCTCCTGACACTGAACAACATACACAACATTACTCTGTTTGTGCCGGGGGACTGGATCTGAACCAGTCTTTGCCGTAAAACGTCTCAGTTTCTCTGATACTCCCGCAACATATGGAATGACCACTGGTCTGGGTCTGGGTTCGTCCTTTTCACCTGAGGCTGACTGGAGTCCTGTTTGGGTTTCTTCTCTGCTTTCAGGAAGGCCCAGTTAGGATATCCACATTGCTCTAGAGCCTGTCTTGTGTAGGATTTCTCCTTCTGCCTGGCTCCTTAGTTAATGGAGACGCTGTCTGTTCATGTGAGCAGCTGGTTTTGGTTGTCAGCAGCAAACTGGTTAATCCACTATGGGAAGGTGCTATTTATAAGACTGAGCTGAATACTGCACCTCAGACTGAAGAAGTTTTTCGGATGAAAGATGAAACTTTTCTACATTTTTTTTTTGTTTGTTTGGTTTTGGTTTTTGAATGTCCAGAGGACCAGACTTAACTTTTTTAGAATCATTATTGTTGTTGCCTTTTGGCTGTCATATTGTAAAGTTTGCAGATGATACAGAAGTGGTTGGATGCATCACAAACAATGATGAGTCCAGCTACAGGCAAGAGATGGAACACCTGGACAGCTGATGCAGGAAGAACAACCTTCACATCTATGTGTAGAAGACATAGGAGATGGTCGTGGATTTCAGACGGAGCAAGCACCCTCCACCCCACCTCATGAATATAAGAGGATCTGTGGTGAAAGTGGTCTCCAGCTACAAGTACTTGGGTGTGCATCCGAATGTCAACCTCAGCTGGAGCAACAACACCACCAGCCTGATCAAGAAAGCTCATCAGAGACTCTACTTCCTCAGGTGGCTGAGACGAGCTGATCTGGGAAGCTCAGTCCTCACCTCCTTCTACAGGTGTGCAGTGGAGAGCATCCTGTGCTCCAGCATCAACGTGTGGCATGGAGGCTGCACAGCTGCAGAAAGAAAAGCCTTTCAGAGAGTGGTGAAGGCTGCACAGAAGACTGCTGCCTGCCCACTATCACAGACATCTACACCTCCAAATGCAGGAAGAGGGCCACCTGCATCATGAAGGACCCCACTCACCCAGCACACACACTTTTTGCCCCGCTCCCCTCAGGAAGGAGGTTGAGGAGCATTAAGTGTAGAACCACGATACTGAGGAACAGCTTCTACTCTGAGGCTGTTAGACTCATGAATCCCTAATCAGGATAATCACTGTGGGGAAAAAAAAATCACTCTAATGCCACTATGATTAGTGATATGTGCTGCTGATTATCCATGCTGCTGATCTCATTTCATGTTGCTGTTTATTTTATGCTGCTGTGTTCATTTATACCCATCTGCTCTCATAGCCTCATGTCCGTGCTGCTGCTGTTCAGCATATTGTTTTACATTATTAGTGTTTAGTGTAGAGCTATTTCTAACCTGGCCCAAAGCCTGGCCCGACCCGAATTCAGAGCAGGCCGGGCCATGACAATGTGCTGGATGGGCGGGCCGGGTCTCTGTCAGGGTTTTGATTGCGTCAATGCATCAGCCGTGATCTAATTACATGGCAAAATGACTTGCCATAAAATACAAATATATGGCAACATGGCTTGCCATAACTCCACTAGCCACACGTGGCCATTTCACCACGAGCTGACTGGCCTTGAAAGAGGTAAAATAAAGTTAAATTAAGCTTCAGATGGGACTATACTGCCAGGCAGCAATCCATCGCCCAAATGAACGTTCATTCTGCCACTGCACTCAGCAGAAGCGCACAGCCGACAACTCAAACAGATGAGATCCCAAAGCAGGCATGTCAGTGCAGTCCGTGTCTGAATAAATCAGAATGCAGGCAGAAACAGGGTTTTAATGCTCTTTGACAGCCATGAAAGGACAAACACCCCCTCAGCTCCGAGCTTCTGCCCCTTTTATTCAGCCACGCGTCCCTGTGGTAACTTTAGTTTTA